TTCTTTGAAATCTTAGGGTACAGTTTTCAAATGTTACAAATATGATAGAAGATTGCCATGAAGATAAATATTATGTATTGTAATTTCAGAAGCACGTTTTCCCAGTTCAACATCTCTGAAACGAGGATACATCTAATACTGCAGTAATTATATTGGATTGATAATGTTTGTCTTAGTGGTAGTACAATAACGGTGAATTTTTCAATTCATGATGTCTTCCATTCAATTACAAATAAGTATGGATAAATATAAATATTCTAGATGGGCATGTAATTAAAGGAGAATATCTGATTCCTTGAGTATTTTATGAGTTTTCTATAGTCTTGTTTTGTGGTTGATTCAATAAAAAGTGCCTGTTATTCCCAGGTGCTAAGGATTATAAAAACCCTGCTGTTACAGAGCGTAAGATGGAAAGATAGACAATTAGATTTTTAAGTAAAATATCATGTATGTTGTAGAATTTAAGGTGCTTGGGGCACACATTTCTTGGGGGAAGGGAGTCTCTTGGAAATGGCATTCATGTAGGAATTTAAGGATCAGTTGCAGTGGGAATAACTGCTTATGCAAAGGCCAAAGAAGACTCTAGGAGAGCTCGCATAATAGAGGAATTGGAAGAAGTTCAATAATTTAGAGCAAAGCAATATATTCAACTCATTTGCATCTTTTGATATTCTACTGTACTTGCTTTGAGAGAGAATACAATTGTCCAGTCACAGACCACTCTGAATAGGCAATCTATTCTGACTTTAGCACTGTGGCAACAATTCTAAAATATCTTTCAGTTTCTCAACATGAATTCAAGTTCATCATTTTATGTTCCATGCAACACAAAAGCAGTGAAGGCAAAGAGTGAGATTTGGTCCTCAATTTCCTGGATGTATTTAAACACAAACTTTATTGTGTGAGTCTAAGAGGCAAGTGAAAATTTAGCAAGTTCTTAGACTCAATGGTAGGTTTGTGGGGTTGGAGATGAGAGGACCAGGGTAAAGGAGCACCCACCTAGGAAAGTCCGATTTGCAATGCTAAGCTGATGCCCAGTTTAGCATCAGGACAGCAGGGAAGAAAAACAGGTTAAGATAATGGGGCATAGGTAGCTATTGTTATTTACCTCACCCAATTACTAAGCAGATACATAGAAACCCCTATACATTCATTGCTGCCTTTACAAACATCATAACAACTAAGATCTTCACATTTTCAGTAATATCTGACAGTACACTGTTGGCCTCTGGAGGTCAAGTATTTGTTTTGAATAAGTGGTTGACTTCCTCCCCAGATTCAGCCATCTCCTCACTGAACTTCATTTTGAATAGGAAATCGTGCCTGTGAAAAGTCACAGAAGACCCTTGCTTAAGACCAACCAAAATGTTTTCAGGGAAGAGAGATACACAACTCAATTAGGGGTAATTCTTAATAAAGAGATAGTCTTATGTGAATTGTACTTAATGTAAGGCATATAATTTAATTTCTCTATACAAAATCATGGACATAACAGACCCACTTACAACACTAATAAGATCTTTATCAAAATCTTTTAAATGATTGGATTCCCCATTTAGAGGGATGAGCAAGAGGGGAAATGAGATTACATTTAGGCAGCTTATATGACATATTAATTCAGAACATGAAATGTGAGATCAGAGATTTGAATTGAATGTATTCGGCATAAACTAGTCATGTAACTTTGGACAAATCAAATTAAGCTCCTAGTACTTAGGCTTCTCCACCGCTACAACGTGGATAATAGTTAAGAACTCCTATACATTTTTTTAGATTAAGATGAAATATTACCTGCAAAGTTCTTTGCACAGTGCTTCAAACACAATACCTTTTAGCAGGAGGTTGAGCTCACTATTCTCCGTTACTTGACCTCTGTCCCCTGGAAGGCTGACCCTGCCATTTTGATATGGCCAGTGGGAGTATTGGGTAAGACATTGGAGCTTGGGGTGTTTTTATTTCTCCTCCCCTTCCCCTGTTAGACTTCAGTTTTGGCAGCAATTACGTTTCCTCTATCTATGGCCACAGTTCCAGTTCCATGGTCCCTCCCATGGCTGGAGTTCACAGTCAAGCAAATGCTGCCAGCTCCTTGGGCCTGGGAATGGTCATGGTTTTTCATCAGGTGCTTTCTTTCCTAGGTGCTCTACCAGCTTCTCTCATTTCATTTACAGCCTCTTCACACTGTTCCTTTATGATACTTTCTCCAGCTAAATCCTTTATGCATAACAGGAGTTTTTGCTGGGACTTTGACATGCATAAAATTAACAGCAAAGGACTTCATTTGTACATAAGGGAGATCATCTTTCTTGAGGAATCATTTGATAAATTTTGGAAGAAGCTAATACAATGGGAAGTTTACTGGGATGGTGGTGGTTTGTTATTGTTATGTAGGCCCAGTTTTGAAGGCTGGGGAGAGTTTAGATGTCAGGGGGAATTGGGAAGGAGGGATGGAGTGCTTTTGTAGTGGTATAAAAGAGGTTCATATTCACAGTGGCAAAATGAGCAGGAGGAATATGGGGAAAGTAAGGACATATGACTGGCTATAATGAGCCGTATACGTGTAAGAGTTGTGGTAGACAGAATAATGATGTTCTCTCAAAGGCATCCATGGAATCTGTGACTATGTCACCTTACAGACAAAAGGCACTTATCAGATGTGATTAAATTAGAGGATCTTGAGCTGGGAGAATTGCTCTGGTGGATCCAAAGTAAATATAAGAACTTTTAGGGAAACAATAGGGTCAGGTTCAGAGAAGAAGATGTGATGCTGAAGCAGAGCCAGAGAGAGATTTGAAGGTTTTGAAGCGGGAGAAAGAGGCCATAAGTCAAAGAATGTCTCTAGAAGCTGGAAAATCAAGGAAGTTGATTATCGCCTAGAGTCTCCAGCAGATATGTAATCTTGGTGACATCCTGAGTTTGTCCCAGTGAGACTTCTGGCCTACAGCATTGGAAGATAGTGAATTTAGATTGTCTTTAACCCAGTAACTCTGTGGAAATTTACTGCAGTAGTAATAATAAGCTGATAAGATATTAGGAGATAATGGTGTGTATTAGGGTAGTTAGTTGGGAATGGTGTATTTTGTCTGAAAGGCAGGAGAGAATCGCAGACAGTGTTTGTCCAAAAATGTGGGCTATAATGAAAATGATGTGGTAGGAGGGTGGATTAGAGCTTGGCTGAGGACCGGAAATGAGAAGATAAGCTCTACTGTAGAGCCCAAGGAGGCTATGCTGAGATCTCAGCGAAGATGTGGACTGTGAACTGATAAGAAGCTTCCTTCAGGCTAACTAGTTAGAGACTGGTTAGGAAGAGCTGACAGAATGTGATAATTTATAGGGAAACCAGTAAAGGAAAGAAGAAGCCAAATATCACCTTCTTAATGCTGTATTCAGAAATGGACGTTAAGTTGACAATGAGTTAATAACTCTTTAAAAATTATAAATTTTAATATAATTTTGTTATACACACACATAAAAAGGAATGGAATATTACAATTAAAAAATATCTATGCATTGTTTTCCTTTAAATCCATTCCTGGATTGAGCAAGGTATGGTAAACCAACATAGATATGACATCACAACTTATTAATCTTCTCTAAGTTTCATTCTTGTCCTTTTAGCAGGCATGCAAAACTCATTGGATAATTTCTACACCAGTTACTGATTATTTGGTAAAACTTGAATAATTAGTAAACTCCAGATTTGGCACATCTGCAAAATGCAAGCAATCTCCAGAATTTTGAGTTGGGGAGGAATTGTAGATCAAAGATTTGTAGAGTAGTGGTAGTAGATAGTCAAACCACTCTCTGGCTGTACTGCTGTTCAGAAGTTACTGATGTTTGGATTACTGGACATTTCCTGAGTAGTGGAAAATGTTTGTATAAAAAGCCGGTAGCTCTGTATTAACCCTCCTGATGCCACCTCACAATGAGATAGCTCTGCTTGTTAATAATGCACTTCTAAGTGATCTTCATAAAAGTTAACAGTGCTTGGCCATCTAAGGTAAGACAAAACTGGATGACTTGCTTCCTATTTTTAAAGGTAAAATGCTATTAACTAACACTAATATGCATGCTAGCAGTAAAACAACCCAATAATTGAATATCAATGATATGCTAAATCCATCCAGTTATTAAGCCAGGTGATTTCTCTCACATAAAGCTTCTGCCAGTACAAGACCACCCATCCACCTTCCTCCTCTCACTATTTCACCTTTCCCTCCTCAATCAGTAACTGGTTATAAAAGAGAAACTCGACCAGGGGCTAATCATTCGGAAAATCTCTGAAAATGCTACAATTCAACCTTTTTCTAAAGTGGATATAATTGTGCATTCCCACTGGGCCATTCTGACTTTAAAGTCCACTCCTTAAAAATACATATACAAAAAACAATACAGTTTGCCTCTTTAAAATTACATAAAAAGTCTGTACTGTGATATTTACAAACTTAACGTTCACTATTCCTTTCTCTATTCGGAATATCCTCCTCTGGGGAGCTGACATCAGTTTGGGACAAGCAGCAGTACTGACTTGCAACCCGCTCTTTCCGTGGTCTCTGCGAGAGATCCTGAACACTAACTACATGGCAAGAAAATGCAATCATGTCCACCCTCAAAGGAACAACCTGATTGTCGGAACTTGGCATTTAAATCAGGCGCCCTGCAGCCCTCCACTCCCCAAATGCCATTCACCAAACTCCTAAATGGCATACAGTTGCACAGTACAGTCACTTGACAGGTCGGTTCTGCCTTGTAACGTTTTCAGCGCCTGCCCCGTCCTACTCCTTCAGCGAAGGGCTTTGAAGTGACACCCAAACTAATTCAGACCAGATCCCAAGCGCAGCACCGCCTGCTGGACTCCAGCCTGGCCCAAGCGCCCGAGAGTCGCTGGAGCCCAAAGCGCCCCGCCGCCTCCGCACTGCCCACCGCTCTGAGTCCGTCGCTCCTGCCCCGCGCCCCGCGCCCCACGAGCAACAGATGCTGAGAAAGAAAGGGGAGTCGCTCACCGGTGAGGAGCCAGCAGCAGGCGACAGCGACCCCTGGGCTGGCACGGCGCGGCGGGGCCATGGCCGAGTGGCAGCAGCGCCTGGCGGACGTGCGGGTTCGGAGGGCAGGACCCGACTGGACGCGGGAGCAGGACCCGGGCGCAGGAGCCGAGCGCGCTGAGTCCCTCGGGCTGCCGCTGCGGGTGTCAGCCCTGGTTCCCCCGCGGCCGCAGAGGAGCGATTTCCTGTTTTCGTCGGTAGCCCTAAAACCGCTCCACGCTTTTCACATCCCAGACCGATTGCCACATCGCCCAATCCTTAGCGCTCGCGCTTTCTGAAATTCTGCTGGCAGCCGCCCAGGCTCCCTCCGAGACATGGACAAATAAAGCCAGCTTCGCGGGTCCGTGTTTAGGCTAAAGTCCACGCACTGCGCAGCAAACCTTAAAGGGACATCTGCCTTTCATCCACAAGGGGATCCCGCTCGCGGTGCCAAACCCCCTAGGTGGTGGGAAGGCGGGTTAGGCGGGCCCTCCGAGAGGGTGTCGCCAGCCCACAGTGGCTCCGCCTGGATTCACACCCCTTGCTTCTCCTGGGCCGGGCAGGGAGGGCTTTTTCAAAGGATCCAGGCTCCTGGGCCAGGAAGGAGCAGACTGCTTTGCTCCGGGTGCGATGGCACAGGAAGGGTCAGCCGTCGGTGAAAGTGAGCCAAGCCTCTCTGCGATCCGGCATTCGCTCTTCCGCAGACTCTTGAACCTGGCCTTGAAGTCCCCTCTGGGGTGGAGAGGGGACGTCCTCACCACCTCCATAGGCCCCACTGAGGGCTTTGCTTTCTTTATGGAGGGTTTAGCTCTTGGGGGTGAATCGTGGTGAAAAGGGGGTTGCGCCCTAAGTGTTTTTTTTTTTCTTTTTTCTTTTTGAAGGGCTGTGATAGAATAAAGGAGACTGGGAGAGAATTAAAAAAAAAAAGAGGGAGAGAGAGAGAAATGGGAGAGAAGGGTGGAGAGCAAAGAAGTTGTCTCAGAAATGGAGTGTATGGGGGCTATTTTGTTTAAGCTGAATTAGGATGTTTGTACTGGGAACTAAATGTAATAAGGAACTGTGGCACCATTGTGCTGTTTTGGTTTTCTTTTACGAGTAAGACTGCATTAAGTCATATGCACGTTTCTCCTTCCTGAGGGACTGGGATCAGAAGAAGTTTTGAAGTTTGTGGTGTGAGTTGACCAGCCTCAGAGTCATGAGCCACATTCACGTGTTAGTTTCAACGAATTCTGGCAATTTTCCGAAAAGCTGTGTGTCCGTGGTTAAAAGAATTTCAGAACAGAGCAAGGAGTTGATGAACTGGTTTAGGTGCAGAAGGATCAGAGGGGATCCAATCAGTCCAAGGACTAGTTGAGTCTCTCTGTCCAGCAGGGCCAGGGCTAGGCAGGACAAGAGTGCCACCCAAAGGGGGGCTCATTGCCTGGAACACAATGCCATGAGCAGGTAGCACAGGGAAAGGAAGGAAGAAGCCCTAGGATGATGGGATGTGTTGCCTTATTGAGGACTACAGCCACTTAACCCTGGGGAAGACAAAAGTGAAAGAAGTTTAATGGAGGTCAAAATAGATATAGCAAGGCCCAGAGGTGTAAGACCACCAAATCTCAGTACCATGACCTGTTAGCCAAGGAATATCTAAGTTGCGTATCTGAAGCGATTCTATACTTGGTACAAATATTAAAAATATTTTCTTTTGTTTTCACCATTTATGATATATTTTAGCTCTATCTTCAAAATTATATAAATAAACCCCTACAAAAATTGTATGACGTTAGGCATAGTTCAGGCCCCTTCCTTAGGCTCCTTTTCCTCTGGTCAGTTCCTCTGGTCAGTGCCAAGGAAAGCCTTTCTTGTGTCCATCTCATCTCTTTGTGCAGTCTTGTTGGTGGACACAAGGGGCCATTAGCTTAGCGTGTCACCAAATAATCAGCTTCATGCTGGAGTTACCTAGAGGGAAGTTTTGTTTCCTTGTGACAAGTAAAAGGGACTGAGGGAAGGTATAGGTCCCTAAAATGACTCCCTGAACAGCAGTTTGCTAGGACTTTTATGGCAAAGGTTAAGGAAGTGTCCAAGAATGGGAGGACTCTTCTTGCTTGCAATATACATCTTCATAAATTGATTGCTTTGAAAAATCTAAGTCAGGGGTGGGAATTGGGCATAGTTATAAAGACAGTTAACATGCTCTTTGGGATGCCAACATCGGTACTAGATTGCCTGGGCTCTAGTCCCAGCTCCTCCCCTCTCCTCCTCTTCTTTTAAAGAAAGATTTATTTGATTTATTTGAAAGGCAGAGAGAGAATCTTCCATTCACTGGTTTACTTCCCAAATGGCCACAACAGCTGGGGTTGAACCAGACCGAAGCCAGGAACCTGAAACTCCATTTGAGCTTCCCACATGGATGCAGGGACCCAAGAACTTGGGCCATCCTCTGCTGATCTCAGAAGCATTTTAGCAAGTACATAGGTCAGAGCAGAGCAGTAGGGGCTCAAACTGGTGTTCCCATATGGGATGTGGTTAGCATTGCAGGTGGTGGCTTAACTGCACCACAATGATGCCACGATGCCGTCCCCTCTGCACACTTCCACTTCTGACTCCAACTTCCTGCTAATGCACCCCATGGGAGACAGAAGTTTATCACCCAAGTACTTGGGTCTTTGCCACCTACCACAGAGACCTGAATGGAATTCTGGGATCCGGACTTCAGCCTGGCTCAGCCCCAGCTGTTGGAGGGATTTGGGGAGTGAACTAGTAGAGGGAAGATCCCTCTCTGTCTCTCTGTTGCTCTGCTTCTCAAATAAATAAAAATAAAAATCTGACTTACACTGGTATTTCTTGTTCCTTGTTTGTAGTGGTCTGGTCCCCTCTGAGGTCAATTTTCCAAGATAAGCTTTCCTTAAACAGTCTCTGAAAAACAGGCTAAAGCAAGTACACTGTTTTGAGTAGACTGTTTCAGATTTTCTGCCTCTGTTCCAATGTCCCCCTTTTGCCTAAATGCTATACACTTGGTCATAGTTTCAGTAACAACTTATACCTCTCCATGCAAATATGATCCATTAGGCCATGCACAACAATCAGTAAATTTTTGTTAATGTTGTAACATTTAAGAATCATCATAAATAACTTCCCAACAGTACTTTTCCAAATTGTTTAGTTTGCCTATATGTGTGTGTGCATATATATGTATATACATTCACACATATGCATATACAAGTACATATCAAAAGTTCATGGCAAATATAATTGAGGGATCTTATTGACAACATTTTTTAAAAATCATGCATATGAGAGATCTTAAAAAAGTTGATGAAAATGTGTATTTTGAAAGAACTATGCATGTATTTCAGTTTTTTGCATAAAAATAAACCTATCTTTTAATTCCATTTTTCCAAGTGCTTTTTGAAGTACCCTTGTACATGCAGGGTGTTCAAATAAACTGCAATATACCTCATTGGGAGAAGACTGGGAGAGGAAATAAAAGAAGGAGGGAAAGGTGCTAAGCAAAGCAGTTGCCTCAGAAATGGAGTGTGTGGGGCCTATTTTGTTCAAGCTGAATTAGGGTGTTTGTACACTGGGAATTGACTAGGGGACTGTTTTGTACATGCAGGGGCATTCGAACAAGCTTCAATATATTTCACTGGGAAGAAAAAAAAATAACTGTAAATTTGTAAAATATCTTATTTAAATAAACTAGGTTAAAGTATTCTTATGACCAATGTTATAATTACTGGGAACTTTATTTTTTGTTTTTACAGCTAATACGTACTTTTCACTGAAATACTTCTGTCTCCTCTAGGATTTAGAAATGTAATGGTGATAACTACCATGATCAGTGATATTATTTAACATTAATCTTCATATGTGTTCTGAATATTTTTATTAATATATTTCGAAGTTTTTGTTTAATTATGAGGGAGGGAGAGAAAGAGAGGGAGAAAGGTGGAGGGAGAGGGAGGAAGGGAGGGACAGAAGTAGGGAGGGAGGGAGGAGAGAACGAGAGAGAGAGAGAGAGAGAGAGAGAAAGCATTTTCATCTGCTGGCTCACTCCCAGTGTACCAGCCAGCTCTGGGATAGCTAAACCTTGGAGCTGGGAACTCAGTCCAGGTCTCCCATGTGGTTAGCAGGAAATTAAATACTTAAAATATCATTGCTACTTTCCAGGATCTGCATTATCAAGAAACTGGAGTCAGGAGCCAGGAATTGAACCCACGTACTCTGAAGTGAGATGCTCCTGCGTTATAAAACTTATCACCATATTTACTATTCTTCTTCATGTGGAATCAATGCAAATGTAGACACTGAAAAATAACAATTGCTTGAAAACTAGATTTGGAATAAATGCTAATTTTCTTAATAAACCTAAATACAAATCAATGTTAACAATCAATTCTACACTGACTGATAGACATGTCATTGGGTAAATGTTGGTTCAGGGGAAAGAAAATCTTGACCAGAAAATACTATTTATATGAAGACACTGGATGGCAAATGTTAAGCTCTTGACTTTGTGCTTTGAATTCTCATTTATTAATGAAAATTCTGATCTGATTTCTTTTAGAGTTTGGGAGTATTGGCACCAAGAAGTTAGAGACAGAATTAAGAATTTGGAAAGTAGGGTCTAGGAAATGAGATGAGTAATTGGGACTCTTGGCTAACAATCTGAAAAAAGAAAAAAAAACATATCACACCAAAATATTCTTCTTGGACTTAATCTAATCTATCAAGGAAAATTACTGGATTGAGTAGGTTCTGCAGTTACACTACTTGAATTCAAGTCCTGCACTATGGTTTGAATGTTTTGGTCCTAGGACTGTGTGGCTTAGTCCTCAAAGTTATGATAATGGTATTTAACTTAATCCAATGATGATGATTGGAGATGGGGTCTTTTGGGAAGAGACTGAGTTGGATTGGTGGTTTTAAGAGAGCACATAGCCACACTTTCATTCCTTGTGTTTTGCCATGTGATGGTCTATGCCACCAGAAACTCTGGCAGCAAAAATGCTGTCATCAGACGCTGAACCAATGGGGACTGCGTGATTGTAGACTCTGACCTTCCAGAATCATGAGCCAAAATAATTTCTGCTTTATAAAGTTAGCTTGATTCAATTTTATGATGATGTTGAAAAG